TCCCGGACCGTGAGATCTTGACCTGGCTGAAGTCGGACGCTTAACCGACTGCGCCACCCAGGCGCCCCTAAAAATGTTTATTTATTTTCAAAGAGAGAAGAGGGAGGGGGCACCAGGAGGGACAAAGAGAATCCCAAGCAGGCTCTGCACTGTCAGCACAGAGCCTGATGTGGGGCTCGATCCCATGAACCGTGAGATCATGACCTGAGCCGAAGTGGGATGCTCAACCGACTGAGCCACCCAGGCGCCCCCCCCCCCAATTTACATTTCTACCAGCAGTGGGTGAACATTCCTGTTTCCCCAGGTCCTCACCATCACTTCATATTCTCAGACTATTTCATCTTTGCCAATCTGCGAGGGGAGAAATGGTACCTTGTTTTTACTTGTTTCCCAGACAATGAGTGGGGTAACACATCTTCTCTTGTAATTGTTCAACCAATACATTTTTAAAACTCAACTACAGGGGGCGCAAGGGTGGTGCCTGGCGGGCTCAGTCGGTAGAGCGTGTGACTCCTGATCTCGGCATTGGAAGTTCAAGCCCCACATTGGGCACAGAGCTTAGTTAAAAAAAAAAAAAAATCAACCACTGGGGATGCCCCAAGTTATCATTTCAAGGGATTCGCTTAAGTTTCAACAGAACCAAAGGGGCCCATTCCAGTATTTACCAAATACTCCTATTCATTTACATCCCACTGGCAAGCCAGGGTTGACAGGCAGATAACAGGGGGGAAATGCTTAAAATGAAGTGGGAAGAGGGGCACCTGGTGGGGGGCTCAGTCAGTTGAGCATCTGACTCTTGATTTCAGCTCAGGTCATGATCTCGCAGTTGGTGAGTTCGAGCCCCTCATTGGGGCTTGGTGCTGACAGCACAGAGCATGCTTGGGATTCTCTGTGCCTCTCCCTCCCTCCCCACTCCCTGCCCCTGTCCCAACTCAGGCTCTCTCTCGCCAAATAAAGAAAGAAACTTTCAAAAAATAAAATGGTTTTTTAAAAAATGAAGTGAGAAGAACTTAGGGTAGACATCAAGAAGAAGTTTGGACGGCTCCTCGCAGCTAACTAGAATTCTACAGATATAGTAGAAGCGAATGTGCTATTCATTCACCCTAATACATTAGTATAGTACTTTTCACTTTGGAAAACCTTTCCAAATGCTGGGAGATAATGCAAGAAATTGTAGAGAGCACTCTAGCACAATCCATAGCCGACACTCTTGGGCTTTTCCCCCTTTTGTCTCCTAGGTTTGTCATGCTGTTCACGGATGACCTGGGCCATATTTCCCAGTGGAGATCTATTATGGCGGGGAGTCTCGCAGGCATGGTTTCCACTGTTGTGACCTACCCTACAGACCTCATCAAAACCCGGCTGACTGTGCAGAACCTGCTGGAACCATCTTACCGAGGGATCTTCCATGCTTTTTCTACTGTCTATCAACAAGAAGGGTTCCTAGCCCTTTACCGAGGGGTTTCCCTTACTGTTCTAGGTAAGATGGAACTTTTCACCTTGTCCAAGAAAAGGCTGTGTTCTGTGATATGTATGAACGTACCGTATACTGTTGCTCGTAACCAGTTAAATGCAGCTTTTTGAGGTCGTGGTCACATGGATCCAATCCATATAGAGCCAGTTAGCTTGGTTCTATTCCATAGCCATACGCCCCACTTGCAACTTTGGCCTGTCACACCCCAGGGCGGGAAGGAGGAGACAGTGGAGGTGGCTCAGCCCAAACTGATAGGAAGGCAACCCCACGCACCCCATCTGACTGCGGGGAGGCGTCTCAGCCTGCACCCATGGGCGTGCACGACCAGGGCAACAACTGGAGCTTCTGTGGTCTTGGGAACCTTTGCCAGGGCTACAGACGCACGAGTCGCCCGTGTCCCCCAGTTGCCAGACGCAGCCGACTTTCACCCGTTATCTGACCTTTGTTGCAGCGTTTGAGGAGACTGGCCACCCCTTCTTCCGGAAACTTGGCTTCTAGGACCCTACCGGCTTCTGGGTGTCTTCCCCATCTTTCTGGCTCACCTGACACTCTCCCCGGGGCTCCTTCCTTACCTTTCTTTCCACCCTCCATCCCCTCCCCGGGTGGCCTCAGCTAGGCCAGTGGCTTAAACAGGCATCATGATACTCTAATGACCCCCCAACGTCACCTCTGTAATAATAGAGACTAAGGGTTCCCCTGCTGCTTCCTGTGGCTCAAGCGGGAAGAAATTTACAATCGAAGAAATTTACAATCGCCTCAGCTCCGCTCCTCTCACCGCTGTGGCTTCAGTCGGCGCATAGGTCGACTCAACCCCTCCACTCTCAGTCTGTCGCCCCCTCCTTCCCTGCACCCACTGCGCTCATCCTCCCTTCCCCGCAGATATGAGCAAGACGCTCCCACCTGGTCCCAGGCCCCGGTCTCTCCTGCCTACACTGAAATTAGCCCTTTCACCACCCCCATGACGCTGTCCTCCTTTAGAGCCTTCACTGATGGGCGCCTGGGTGGCTCAGTCGTTAAGCACCTGACCCATGGCCCATCCCACCTCCTCTCCTGCCCCGCCTCCACCTGCACTCAGTCTCCAACCATACAGAAAAACCTGGAAACTCCACTCCCTCTGTACCTGCTGTTCCCACTGCCCGGACTGCCTGTCCTCTCTCCCGATGTCTGGCGAACTCCTACTCAATCCTCAAGACCCAGTGGAAAAGTTCTCTCTTCTGTGAAATCCTTCCTGATCCCCCTAGGCAAAATTACGAGGATCGGATCGTCATGTGCCTAAAGAACTTTGTATAGCCCACCCCACCCCCCCCCCGCCCCACCCAATTATGGCACATATCCGCTGCCTGTCCCCTCCACTAGAGGGTGAGTATCTCTAGGAATTAGCCTACTCTTTGTGTTTACTCCTCTTTGTATTCCCAGCAGCTGACACAGGGCCCAGCATATGACATAAAGTCCACAAATATTTTCTGAATGAAGGTAAATGCGGGGTTGGTGCTTCATGTTTAATGTGTTTATTAAATAAATATTATTGCATTTTCCTAAAGGCAAGCAACCCCACTGATGCTATCCCCTCTTTTATCTCATTTGAAGGAAATGTAGTACCTCTGTAAACTTAAGATAGCTCCCAAAGTTTCTGGAAGACCAGTCCCTCCTAACCGCTTCCAAAACCTGATTAAGTGCCACTCACTGACTTTTTCTTTATGGGAGTGATTTTTTTTCCCCCAAGATTTTATTTTTAAACATTTCTAACACCCAACCATCCAGATGCTACAATTAACTTTTTTGCTTTATCATCTATCTGTCCATCCCTCTGGCCATTCACCAGTCCATCTTCCATAATTTTTGATGATTTCCATGTAATTTCCAAACATCGAGGCACTTCACCCCTCAACCCGTTCAACATTGTGTAATCATTATCTAGAGTTCAATATTCGTTTGTGGTTCCTTGTAACGTAAAATTTACGTAAAGGGCGCAAACCTTTAGTGAACCATCTCATGCGTTTTGACAAATAACGCAGCCCCTATCAAAATGTAGCACATTATCAGCACCCAAGAAAAGTTCCTTCCTATTGCTCTGGTGGGAGGGATTTTATTTATTTATTTAAAAAAATTGTTTTAATGTTCATTTTTGAGAGAGAGAGAGAGAGAGCGCGCGCGCAAGTGGGGCAGAGAGAGAGAGAGAGGGAGACACAGAATCCGAAGCAGGCTCCAGGCTCTGAGCTGTCAGCACCGAACCCGACATGGGGCTGGAACCCACGAACCTTGAGCTCCTCCTCCGTCATCTGAGCTGAAAGTCGGACACTTGGGATCTTAACAAGCCCAGGGCCGTCCTGTTTACTTCACCGGGCTTCCCCACAGGCATTTCTGTTCTCACGCCCGTGTTGCCAGAGACAGAAGCAGCCTCTTCCTGGCCTCGTTTTGCAGGTGCTCTCCCGTTCTCTGCCGGCTCCCTTCTCGTTTACATGAACCTGGAGAGAATCTGGAATGGACCCCGAGATCGGTTCTCTCTCCTCCAGAACTTTGCCAACGTCTGCCTGGCCGCTGCAGTAACCCAGACCCTCTCCTTTCCTTTCGACACAGTGAAGAGAAATATGCAGGTGAGGGGTTATGTTGGGGGCGCGTCGCGGACGAAGGGGCGCCTTGACGTGGGCTGCAAAGAACACTGACCCTGAGTGATGCCGGGTCTCCAGGGCGCTCGTGACCACTCACGAAAATCCTGTGCAACCCCACGCACCCTCCTCCCGGCATTTCTGCTACTAACCTCAGGGCTAGTGGCCCGAGCCAGGTCACCTCCCTGTTCCCATACTCTGCTTTTGTAGGTCCTTGTCAAAGCCTCCAGATGAGGCCCACTTTTCTTTCCTCTCTGCCTCAAAGGTGCCTCAATGAGGGAGACTGGAAAGAACCAAAATCAGTTTAGTTTAGTTTAAGTTTATTTATAATAATGCACGTGGATTATAGAAAATTTGGGAGGGGCGCCTGGGTGGTTCAGTTGGTTAAGCATCCAACTTTGGCTCAGGTCACGATCTCATGGTTTGGGATTCTCTCGCACTCACTCTCTGCCCCTCCTCTCTCTCTCTCTCTCTCTCTCTCTCTCTCTCTCTCTCTCTCTCTC